CCAGGACTAGCTTCGAGTGTTCACAGAGAATCAAAGTGCTCTGGCGTGTTGGCAACATTTCTGAAAATGGGGCCTGGAAGGATAAGCAGCCCCTGAATCGGGCCTCCCCGCCACCAGGTACTTTTCAAAATATAAAGATCTTCACTGTAATAGTGAAGCCAATTCATTTATGCATAATTATGTCCCATGTTATTTGAAGGTAGACCATTGACTATAGTTAATATATGCAGCTCCTCCAAGTACAGGTCCAAATATGTTAAATGACAATAGGCTCACCTACAGGAAAGACAGGAAACTAAGCACCATTGTTCTCCTATCTCAGTCCAGTTCTCCTCAAATTGAAGGTTCTGCGCTACTGGTGGCAACCTTTAGGCAGCAGCCGAAAGGAATGTGTCAGAGGGTAAAAACTGCATGTGGCTGCTCACTGCTACAGGGGGATCAGCCCTTTATGCTGACAATCCTGTTGGGTTCTGACAAGTGGGATCTTCTTTAAGGATGGTCTTGGTCGCGGGCAGGCCCCCAGACCTGTTCCTCCACCCCCCAGCATGGGTGGAGTAATGCCATCATGCCAGGGTGGCACCATGATAACCCCAGCTTCTTGGCCAACCACTTTTGTGTGGGGTGATTGTGGGGGGGGGGGGTATAAAAGTGGCAGCATGACACGTGTCAGGCATCTGCTTCACGCTGCTGAACACCCGCCCTTTAATTTAGATTTCCTCTGGCCTTGCTTTGGATTTGGTTGGTCGCCTATCTTGGGATGGGGGCCAGGTAGGAATTTTTCCATTTGGCAGATTGGCAATGGCCACTTGGTTTTCACCTACCTCTTAGCCTACCTCGTTACAACTTTGTAAGGTTTGGCGGTTAGGCATTGGCTCACTGATTTGTGGGGGAAGGGTCCATTGACCAAGGCTATTCCATTAAAGGAATGCAGGGCCTGGATCCTGTCCGATGTCCGCTTGAAGGGCTAGGGCCATGCCAGGCCTCTGGAGACATCGAGGAGAGCTACAGGCAGGTTCCCCCAATGTGGTTTACCCTTACTGACTTCCTGCAAAGGGGGCAGGAGTCTGATATAGTCCTTTGCCAATACTGCTCACATTTCCGTAATCAAAGTTTTGGCCTAAAATTTTGCCCAATAACCAAAATTCTGTGTCAGAGTGAATTTTATTCTAACGAGGGGCTGGTTTGGGGGCCTTGCCATGCAAACTGCCTTCCTGTAAAAAATCCTGCTATGCCTTGATGGATAAAAAAATAAAGATTGTAATACTTTTGAGCAAGTGCTGCCTTTTCTTCACAATGCTAGCCAAGTCTTTGAAGAAATATAAATAAATGTATTATTGCTGTTTGCTGCCTTTGTCTTGTGATCCACAAATCTACATTCTCTGAATTGAAACAACGTGCTGCTGCCTAAGAATAGTGCTGCACTCTTTCTTTTTTGCAATTTCAGTGAATGCATTAAGACATCTGTCCCGGCTTTTGATTTAAAAAACCGCAGCAAGGCAAACATTTTGCTTATCAGTAGATTGCAGATTTGACTACTAACAGCACGGTTGTCATTTCTTTAAAGGTTAGTTGTGAATTCCAAGTTTGAAAGCTTCAGTTTAAGATTGCAGGTAGATGCAAAGTGCAACGTAGTTCAAGATATAGGAACTGATAAGACACTCGGTTATTCAAATACAAAGACTTTAAGATACTACAGAAAAGAAGTGCTAACAACACAGAAAGCAAAATGACATTAAAAAAACCAAGTGGGAGAGTGCACTTGAACACCATATTTACTTGAATCTAATGCTAATTTTTGGCCAAATTATGTTATGAAAATTAAGGTGTGCATTAGATTTGATGGCACATTAGACTCGAGTAAATATGGTATATACAGAGGCAGCATAAACAAGATCATTGAGTGAAGATAACATAGCTTCCAAGTGCATCATTGAGTGCAACAGAACCCTGTGTTCATGCCAAGTTCACTTCCAAATTCTAAAGCCCTCTATAAAAATGAAGACCTCTCTCTCTCTCTCCCTCTTACTGGGAGAAGATGCTTAGCATTAATAAAGTAGGACTGAAGATATTGGGCCTTGTCATAGTTTTAACTATTGATCATACAGAACAAACTTGGACTATTCGCCCTCTAAATATTGTGGTAGCTTCAAGGGAAAAGAACAGGTCCATTCAATTCTTTAATGTAGCAGTAGCCAACATGGAGCCCTCTAGATAATTTAGGCCTCCAAGTTCCATTGGCCTAACAGTAGGGGGTCATTGGAGTTGTAGTCTAAATCATTTGGAGGGCACCATTTTGGCCATCCCTGTCTTAATGCTTTTTCAGATAGACTATTATTTAACTGTAAATTTCCCCTACCTGATGAAAGTGCGGGAGAGCCAAAACGGAACACCTGCTCATCCCTCCCTTTAAACTGTCATAATGCTGATATGGAGCCATACAATGTGCAAACATTAAAAAGCAAAGCACAATAGTATAGTTCAAACTGATGGGGAAAGTGGGATAAAGGAACATATTTTAAAGAGACAAAGTAGTTATTGAAGAGTCTGACACCCCCTTAGTTGTATACTGCTTAGAAATCTAAAGCCACAAATGACAAAGCAAACATTTCAAATTTACCTCTTCTTTAAAAAAAAAAAAGGTAACTGAGGAAGTGAGACTGCACATACTTCAGGGATGACAGTGGTTTCAGGTGAGGGCAGAAATGGTTTTAGGCTCATGGGAAAGGGACTATTGGATAGCAGCTAGTACATTCAGATATCTGTGGTTGGAAGCACATTCTTAAAAGCCTGGAAACCGATGCACATTATGCACTAAAAATAAATCCACCATTTCCATTAATTTGTTTCATATGCTCCATACACAGAAAGATGAGCAATAAATCACATAGTGCTTGAACTGTTTCAAATCACAGCGCAGTGTAATAAAAGAAACATTTTTCATATGGCAGCATTGGAATACATTTGAGATGAGATGGGGATGTTCAACACTCACAGGCACTGTAGCATCACAATCTTTCTGACAAAACACAGATGCCAGAATAAAAATAGCCACGGTCACCCTCATAAAACATCTATCAACACCCACAACATGCAGCGTGCAGTCAACAATTAAAGCAATTGTGTTGCCTTAGCATTTTGTCATGGAAAATATATATTTAAAATGGTATGGTTATATGTTCTCTGTATCAATGGGTTGTTAACCCGTAGACATCAACATTGTAATTTAATATTTTCATTAGACCCTTTAACTAATAGGTTTTCCAATTGACCATTATTGTGGCCACAGAGTGGGAAGGCACATTTAATTTATTGATGGTGCTTAATTCATTCTCTTAAAAAATATGTTGCACTGCTGATGTCATTCCAGTCCTGGATGAACATTGTCTGCCACTTTGCAATTTCTATCAGAAAAAGATAAAATGCACAATATACAAATATCTTAAATGCTAATCATGAATACCAGAAACTACAGAGCATCAATATTCTGTAAGAAAAACAACAACTATGAACCTGTTGTTGATAATCTCTCATTTCACAGTTGCTGTAATATATATTTTCCCTAGGGTTGTATTGTTTTTTTATTATTATTCTTATTCTGACAACACAAAAGTGCACCACCTAGAAATGGAATTATCAACCAGTGATGCATCAATGGTGTGAGAAGTAGTGAAATGAAGGTATGAAATATTCCATATTGTATATGTGGAATATATTATGTTTGTGGCTAGCATCAATGTAAATGAAGGCAGGCAATGGTGAATATGAATAGCTCAAAAGTGACAGAGAGAAAAGGACAGATACCTACCCCAACCTGCGCTATCTAGCTATCGCCCTGTGGACTTACAGTATCACCAATGGGCTCACCAAATGGATCACTGTTGGATGAGGCCTGAGATCCATCAGGCTAGAATACAAGAACATAACACCTTTTTTTCTCAACAACAGAAAGGAAAACAAAGTCAGCAGTTATTTTCATGCAGTGGGTGCATTTTAACATGAATACCTATTGTGGATGAAAATAATTTAAAAGCCATAAACTACAGCTGATTTCCTAGGACCAACTGCTGCCAGTGGGCCAGCCCTGGATAGGATAGTAAACTGATTTGAGCTCACAGAAACAGTCTTTTAGGTTAGTGCATTTTGGCCAAAGTTAACTTTACCTTCAAGACTTGGTCAAGAAGCAGACAAATGCCTAGTGCATGGCTTCTGCTTTAAGCCTGCCTCATTAGTGGTTCTAGTTTGTGATGAGCCATTCATGTGAAGCAGTTGCCATGGCCACGTCTGACTATTTTTGCACTGCAACTCAAACCCAGCCAAATATGAGTTTTCAGCAATATGAGAGCAATCTGGATCTGTGTATGGTGCCCATAGCTGGTTTGTGGTCATCACAAGCAAATTTGGACACCACAGATCTGAGACCAGGTTGCAATTATCAATGTGAGGTCATGCTTCTGCTGTCTCCTTGCAAGTGGGGCAGGCACAGAGTCATGCGTTAGCTATTGTATTCACCACTCGTGCTATTCAACTTAAGCCAAGCCATGTGATTGTACTGACAGCAAAACTTATCCATATTGTCACCTACCCAAGCCACTACACATTGACCTGTGAAGGGTTGTCCATTCCCAGTATTAAGGTGTATACTTACTTTCATTTTCAAATGTCACTGATTCCCCCCTCCCCCTGGGAAATCAAATGTGTTGTGCTATTTTTACAATGTCTGAAGAAATCTGCCAGCTCCTCCCCCTGAAAACAATCTGGTCATATAAAGCATTCCTGTTGAATGCTAGAAAATGGAGAGCATGGATTCCCTCTTCCCTGCCAATCATCCTCCCTGGCTTGCCCTGGAGAAAGCAGAGGGAAGAACTCACTACTCTGTAAGATCCTTCCTAGGTTGAGTTCAGCCTGAAGGTGGCAAAACTCAGACACTGAGTGCCAGGGGCTACATTTTGAACTCCCCCTCCCCATTGCATCAGACCAAAGTCTCTGAACTCCTTTGTCTTTCAGCCCCAATATCCTTCTGTGTTTCTAAGGCAGAACTGCAAATTTATATTGGCTACAATGGTGCCATCACACAAAGCTTTGATGGCACACTGCTGCTTCCGGTTCTTGAAATCTAATTCACAGTTGCGCCTCCTGAATTCTGTCTCTTCGAAGAGCTGGCAGGAGGAGGTAGATACAGACTAATAAATCATGAGAGAACAATCCAGCAGAAATGTATAACAAGTAGGAACACTCAAATAGACTGCATAAGCTGACATGTAGATAAAAATGTTAAGTTAATCTGTGCAATCTTCCATTTTGACTTACACGTTTTTGCTTCAGCAGTATACGTGCTAGTCTAGCACATATCGGTGCTGATGGGGAAACTGGAAGAGTGAAGTGGGAGCACTGATCAACACTCTGTCCTCTGTAATTTACATTAGTTGTGAGCAGTCAGGAGAAAATCGGAAGCGTTTGAAGGGTGGGGGAAGAGGGCTGGGTTCATTATTTCTCCTTCCGTTTGATTAAACATTGCATCAAATAAGGAGAAAAATTGAGGGAACATTTGGGTTCATATCCTAACTCTCTATGTTTTGTAGGGCCACCTTCATTGCCCAAAGTCAATGTTAATTGTCTATAACTGGACTAGAAAACTCTCCTCTATTTTCTTCTACAGTCCAATTTTGCTGATTGAATACTACCTTTAATGTGATCTACAGCAAATGTTTTAGTACTCATGCAAAGTAGAACTTGACTATAATTTTCAAAATTTTCAAAACTGTGAACCATGTACATGGTAACTGAGCAGTTTATGGGTTAATGATTTGGAATTGCCCCACTTACCGCTTCCTGTTCTTCACTTTTACTTGGACTTTCAAAGCCCTCTTCAAAGAGGTCATCTGCAGCAGGGTCACTGGTATGAGATGCTGAGGATTTGGATGGAGAACTTTGTCTAGGAGCAGGAGTTGGAGCTGAATAAAGACAATAGAGATAATTTGAATTGAATGGATGACTGACTCCTAAATATCACCAGAGAACCTGCTGGCAGGTGTCTGGGTGGGCTATGAGCCTAGTGCCACTGTGTGGTTTGGCAATCCCACCCCCCCAAGATTAACAATAAATGGATCTGAGAAACTTGTCTTAAAAGGCAAAATTGCTCTTAGTAAAGTGTTTGGGAACCATTGAGTTTGACAGTTTTGAAAGATTCAAAATATTTTAATTTTAGTTTGCAAAATTCAGCAACCTCTTATCATTCATATGACAACAAACAATGTCCTGGGTTTACTTTGTTTTTAATTTATGCAGCAGTACCAATGCGTTTATCTTAAAATCTTTAACAAAAATTAGATAAATATAAATAAATAAATAATAGAAGCTTTCTATCACTGGAAGATGTCCATCTTTTAAAAAACTACAGATGCCTACTGAGTCATTTCTTCTAACTACACTGTGAAACAAATGAAGTATAAAATTAGCAGTAGTCCACTGAAATCACTTGCAATGCAATTGTTGCAGTACCATCAGAAATACACATTAAGCACACTAAAGGAATGTTGCTTCAGTGCAGTGATGATCCATCACTACACCTGCTTAAATCCAACTCCTCCATCCAGTTTTATTGTGTGTTTAAGCACGGGAATCATGTCATCAGCAATTCTTAATTTAGGGTTGATTCACACAAAATGTTTTTGCAACAATGTAATCACAATGCTCAAGTAAGGCTGGTAATTATGAATCCAAAATCAATAAGCCACCATTGCATCAAGCACAGCTTCCATTGGAGGAGGGGAGCAGAAACCCTCACCAAATTTCTGGATTTCCTTAGTTCATGAATATAGCAAACAGAATCCCAGCTTTGGGAACTTCCAAAGCCGATTGTGCAAGCCAGTTTTTATGCATATTTAAGATGACACTGTCTTTCAACAACTAAATTACACTGTCTTTCAAAAATGAAATTCATTAAAAGTAATGTGTGTAATTAATTACGGACATCCATGAACTCCATGCGATTATCCTCGATTTCATGTCTTCCCAACTTCAAAGACGCCCAATTTATTTAATTTTTAATTACATTCATGGATACTTCTGACAGCTCCATCTCAGAAAAGGGAAACAATGTGTGGAAGGTTGCGGCAGAAAAACGGGGAATACTCACGTGAGTTCGTCGATGGCGTTGTAGAAGTCACAGGAGTCAAATTTAACTGAGAGATGTCAAAGTCATCACAATCATCTGCTTCCTGTGCCATCCCAACTTTGTTAAAGTAACTGGAGAAGGCCTCTGAGGTACAACTGAGGGAAGGCTGATCTGGTTTTCGTGATGGCACTGGTGGAGGCTGAGCCATCTGGAAATCTTTGAACATTTCTTTTCCTGCTTGCTGCCTAGGCCTATCTGTCTGCGGACTGGATCTGGTGGAATCACTTGTAGGTGGAACGGTAGCAATGGGAGCAACGGTACCTTGAAACATGGCTGCTTGTAAAGGCAATACAGTTTGTGTTGGCATGAAGGCAGCAGGCTGAAACTGACCAGCTACAGATGGCCATGGTTGCTGGGTGGGAGAAAATATCCCAGGTTGTCCCCATGCAATTGACTGTCCTCCCTGCATCACCTGAGCAACTGGAGGCTGAGCACCCATGGCCAGTTGTTGTTGAACAAGAGGTTGTTGTCCCCAGAAGGAGGGCAGGACAGCTCCCATTGCAACATAACCTTCGGGGGGAAAGAGAGCGGGGACAATTTCAGAACAGGAAGAGCAAAAAAAGAACAGGGCAGCCAAGGAAGAAAAGTTGGTCAGATATACAAATGAGGAATCACAGGGAGTTTTGGTGACTTCTGTTGCTCCACTGAAAGTGTTGTTGGACAGAGGCATGGGGCAGGTTCAGAAGCTGTTACTAGACTACATGCAAAACTAAATCTATTTTAATGAGACAGCATTTTCCAATAAATAAGAGGAAAAAAGGGAGTGTTCCTAATGATGTTTTCTCTGCCCTTTCTTCTGAACGGAAATCTTCTCTATTAGAGTATTTGTTTTGCTCACTCACCCAGCGTATCACAGACCAGTACTTAGTTGTACCAGTACTTTGCTTCCAGTATTTTTAGCTTGACAAGCAGCTTTGGGAAACACATAAGCTTACTTTATTCTTGCATTTTCAGTAAGTAGGTTAACAAAGGGTATTGTCTTCACCTATTCCATACCGTAGTTTACATCTAAACCCTTTTCTTTCCATGTTGTCCGTTGCCCATTTATTACCCACAAATTTATCAAGCTAATTGCCCAAGGTGCAAATTATGTTTCTGAAATGACCATCTGTGTAGACTTCTGATCCCCCCCCATTTATACTGGACATTAGCTCCTTACTCACTGGATTTCGGAAGCTGCAGTTAAAGAGCAGAAAAGTTATCTAGATATGGAGAATGTCAATCATATATCCGAGATTTTGAGTAACACGCAGAAGTTGGGCAAACTCACACAAACTGTATGCAGAAAGGTAAAAGTAGTATGGAAAAAACATTCGCACTCACCCTGCCCCAGTGTATTCATACAACCCCCACCCCCTGTCCTGGCATCTCTAGTCAAACAGGTATTGCAAGTTTTTGGAGCACTGCAGATAGCCTACAAGACCTATTTGATCTGACTGATTAAAATAGAGCATGCACATCATTTAGAATTGTATTTCTGGCCCTCTGTGAGAGTAAAGGTCAGGAGCCAAGCCCACACTGCTGCTTTAGAGGAGTAGGGGACAGCTATATAAAGCAAGACTGCCTCCCCTCCTCAGTTGTGTTTTGTCCTTCACCCAGCCACCTGCCCCTTTGATGCAATGTCAAAACATTCCAGTTGCTAAAGATCTGTGGTGTTTTCCTCAAAGATGGGCCTAGGGCTTAATGGTCTCCTCCTACCTTTGTGACTTTGGTACCAAGGGTAGGTAAATATAATGAATATCCATACACAAGTGCAATGTAGATTATACGAAGAAATGCACAAAAAGCAACAGTCTGGTGAGTGCTCTGAAGCACTTTTAGAAGATAAAAGGAGTATCCTCATACATAACCATTAAAATCTCAAAACAGGTAGGATTGTTAGGGGTTCTGAATAAACGTCTCATATCCACAAGGATGGGTGTGTGTTACACAGGCAGAACTCCCTCGGCACAATGAAGCGACCATGAAGTAGGGAGGTGACTGCTCCTCAGACCATTTGGGACCAGCGGTGATGGGAGGGAGTTTGTCACCAGCATTTTTAGAACCCATTGCAAAGACTTTAAAGTTATAGTTGATAAAATTCTTTCCCCACTAAAAACCTAATCTGGTGTTCCATCTCATTAGCGCTGGGGTCGTGGTGCTATGATAGCTCCACCATCTCTATGAAACCCAGTCACCCACCCCAATTATTATCATCTGTTCCCACTCTCCATGAAGCACACGTGTAATTGGCCTCATTAACCAACATTAATAGGAAAGAGCAGCCATGTGTGCTTAGCCTTCAAGTTTAGTTTTAGGTTTGGATAAGGTAGGACAGTGTTTGAATGTTCATAGTCCAGGCTGCACTTCAAATGAAAGATGCCACTTCTTTTCTAAGAGATTTTTAAAAAATGTAGCCAAAAGATCCATTAGCTTGCAAAAACATTTTGTATGAAGGCCTAGTTTCAACATTTTACAGACATCACTTCTAATTCTTCTATGTTTCAGTTTCTTTTTTTGTCCATCCAGCACACCTTAACATGGGAAATTTCATTTAGCTTCTTAATTAGTGGCTCCCTCTCCTTAAAAATCATGACCTGGCTGAGTATACTAAAGCAGAATTCAAATGTTAGTCCCTTTTCTCATTTTAATGTTTACTCTACCTAGATTTTGATTATTATTTTTTTGCTATACGGAGATTAAACAAGTTTTGCTGATGAGGCATGTACACAACAATAAGGTAGTCTTTATATTGCAAAAAACCCCTACACATTTATTTTGCTATGGAAAGAAGCAGTTTTCTTGCTTTATGTTTCAAAGCCAGCTGTTAGCATGTCCACAGCTCTGACTAGATAAATCCAGGCTCATTTTGAATTTTTGTATTAGAGTGTTCCAAAACTTCAACCTATTTCATTTTCTGGACAATGGGATGTGTACGGTAACAAAATAAAAATAACACACAGAAGCGGAAAATGGGATAAGATTCAAACCACACCTGCAATCTGTTAGCAAATTGTTATACAAGTAAATGTGCAAGTATGCAGATATAGCCTAATTTAACATCAAAGGAACTGTGGGTTGTCCAGTCAGGAATGGCTGGCAGGGTGATGCTGGCTTGTATCTCTTCTGGCCGTGGTGTTGCTACTGCTTACTGGGACAGTACACTTCTACACTGTCCCAGTAAACAGCAGAAACATCACCAGTACACTGCACCAGCTACTTCTGCTAGCAATCAGGGGACAGGCTTCCTAAGTCTGTATGTCTTTACACTCTTCTTCCTAGCAAAATCATGTAATATATGCATGCACATGCGTATGCACTTGCTTTGCACAATTTATTCCAATCACAAAGTTTAATTTACTTGAAAGCAGAAACTAGAAATTTAGTGCGGACCACACACAGTTCTGGCTAATTCACACCTAACATTATAGTGGATATCCGGTATTTTAAAGAGACAAACATACATTTTCATTTGTGTTATTTCTTCCCGATAAAGAACTACGTAAGCGAAAGAGGATTTAAGCAAAAGCAACTGCTCAACAAATCAGAAGCAGTAATGGGGAACAAATGTATTGTCTGTGTATTATTCCAAGCTTCAGAAATGAGGTTAAGCTATCATTGTTTGCATTTTGGACACCGAAGAACAGTGAAAAACATAAAACAAACACCAGTCTTTTTTCTCCTGTGGCTACTGGAACTCCAGGAAAATCAAAAGAGAAAGCGGCCTTGAGGAAAGGCCTTATGCAGTTTCAGAAGGAGATTGCCCAAATGCCTTCAGAAGAATATGGAAGGATTTAGGAGCTGTTCACTGAATGAATCACAAATGTATTGCCAAACTCTTAAGGTGTAAACAGTATCTACTGGGTTGATGTGAGGTGTTAATTTTATCTGTGGATTTTATATCTGTAATGGGTCATTCACTGCAGTCATTGGTTAATGAGCAGGTATGAGGGAACTAGAACTAACTAAATCTACTGATTAATCAAGGGTCTAGATGTTCTGATGTACAACAGAATAGCTCCCATTAAAAGCCACATATACTCAGACTGGCCTTTAAGTTCTCAAGTTATATAACATGATGTGAAAAACTCACCTGAGGGTACAGCAGCAGTGCTGTAAGGTACAGAACTAAATACATCTGCACCAGCAGGAAGTGACTGGGATGAAGATGGGATAAAGGCATCACCTGGAGTTGCAGGGGTCTGTAAAACATGTGAAGATTAGAACATGCTGGTTAAACATACATGGGTGGCATCTCAGTTGTGGCTTCTGCTGCCAAGAACTGGCTCTACATCCTTTTTCCTAATTAAAAAAAGCGACAGAGAGGAAATGATGGGCTGGTTATAAGAGAGAAGATGCAGAAGGTAGAGAGCAGCAGGAAGGTGGGGAAGGGAAAACAGCAGCAACTAGAAAACAGAATGGGGAACTGCATCAGGAAAATCTCTTATGTATTAAATGTATTAAATGTATTAATGTATTAAATAAACCCAAAAGTGTTCTTCCCCAGCTCCTAGGATATATGCAAATTCCTACAGCACCTGTTCTCTCCCACTCCCCATGAAAGGTCTAAGGCTGTGTGATATTAATAGCTTCACAGGGGATCAGTGTAAGCAATTAGTGCAGAAAAAGAAGTAGAAAGGTAATGAGCAATTTTACATAGGGAAAAATTCAAACTGGGTAAAATGATTGCAAACCTTTTTGAAATTCTTTCAGCTTCAGTATGGGGCATTGTTAGTCATGAATATCTAAATGCATTATGCTGCTACAAGAAGCCTGCTGAAAGTGGCATGTGAGAAAGAGGCAGGAAATTTCTCTCCGGTACTTACAGGGGGAGAGGTTACATCAGGAGGAGTGGACATGTCCCCAAACAGCTCTAGTTGGGTAACAGCCTGCAAATAATTGCAAAAAGAAAGAAAAAAGATTTAGGCATGTCTCATCTCTTATCCACTGAGCAACACAGAAGCCAGTTTTGTAATGGAAAGCAAGAGTAACTTCTCAAAACAATTTTTTACTCGCAATTTTTTTGGGCCAGTCTGTGAGGCAAACCTGAACAAATGTCTGTCATTTCAGCAA